GCTCAGAATGAATTCTGGTCAGAAGGCTGAGCTTCCCAGTGCCGCTGAAGAATCATGCCACATGTAAAATTCATGCTAAGTCCTGAGGTCAAATATAGAGACTTTCTGGTCAGGAGCAAAAGAGAGATTGTGACCTGTCAAGATGATATGCCCGCCAGTGCTCCAATGCTGTGCGCCGCCACCGTCTCAAGGCTGCCGCTGCTGGTGGAGTGAAGTTGCTACAGAGAAGCTTCTGTATGATGGTGGGCTGAGAAGAATGGCGGCGTGGCGGCGGAATGCTGTGTCTGAAGAGAGCTTGTTTTGCGAGTGGTGTCCCTTCTGGGATCTGGAGACTGCCCCAGAGCTCTGCAGGCCCGGCATTGTGTGCCATGACTGTGTAAGCGTTTCCAGGTGTGTGGTGCAGCTTCCAGCAACCATGGAACGTGATCTGTAGCTAAGCTTTCGGTCCGTGGTGCTGCGCCCAGTTGATGTTAGCTATCAGCTTGGTTGTGAGAGGAGACCACGTTCGTTTTAGGTTGCAGACTGGCTGGACTGAAGCAGAGGTTAGAGTCGGACATTTTATTTAGAGTGCTGGTAAACTGCCCGTCCTCCATTTTCATTCGGGGGGGCACCTAGTTTTCAGGATAGGCTGGGATGTCGTATGCTAGATAATTCCCTTTTTTCAGAGCCGTCCGATGGTGCCCCGGGCACTTTGGACCGGAAGATAGCCCTAAAAAACCAGAGCTCAACCCGGTACTGAGACCTTCAATCTACTTTGATTTAGGAATCATTTAATCGATATATTCTGGCGTTCCGTCCGCTTATCAAAAAGTTTCAATGATTGATGAAAGCATCGCAACGGGGCGCCAGAGAAACGTGCGCATCGAACAATTATCAGAGGCTTAATTTGAAACTTCTGAGCGGTCGATGAAGCAGCTTAAACCGGCCGACGGTAGGGATCAGCAGGATAGCTTGTCGTTTTGTGGCACGAGTCCGAAATCTCGTTAATTTGCAACGTGGCACGTGAGAAGGTTTGTTGATTCTAGGTGTCTCCTAGCCAACTAGAAGGTAGACCACGACCTTCAAATTTGACTCGGACGCGGTGCCGCCGTCACGCGCGGCGCGCACTCTATAAATTGAGCGTCGCACCGCAGACTGCCAACACTTGTGAAAAATTCAAGACTCGGGGTCGGGAGTCACTGCAGTCTCCTTTGTGACATAGGTACTGTAGGTACGGCCTGAGTTGACCCGGCAATAATTGCTCCGGATTGATCACGTCTGCAATTCTGTTTGCAAAGCTGATTTGTAGATCTGCTCAGCTGGCCCCAGCTGGTAGAGATTAGGCTAGCTCAGAGCTTTTGCATTACAATGCTGCAATGCTGATCGGTCTGCTGATCGGTCTGGCCTTTAGCATCTGCAAGGCTCCCAACTTGTAGGCCGCGGAAGCAGCTGAAAATCCATAAACTTGAAGCACGGAGCAGGGCGTCGCGTCTTGGTCCTCTTGTACGATTGTACATCCCAGCTGAGACATTCTCATAGCTGACAATCACTTCGAATCTGCTGTTGAATACAGTAAGTCGGAGTGTTGAGCTGTGACTGGGAGCATGGAACCTCAGCTCAGCTTCCAAAACCACCTGCTAAAGGATCATAGTGGAGAATTTGTTGTCTCGACTGCGTTCCTGAGCCATGATCAGAGCACACTAGGGGGCAGCGGGGCCTGCACGGTGGCTGCTTTATATGCTGCAGAGGCCCTGCATCATCTTAAGGAGAAGACCGGGCTGCTCCCAAGCAATGAGCATTATACACAATTGTGGCAGCTAAGCATTCGCAAATGGGAGCTGGTCAGGAAAAAGAGTTTCAGTCCTACTACCACCTACGGGCAGGAGTTTCCAAGTGGTTATCTCCCTGTGAAAACTGCAATAGAGGCGACCGGGTTGCCTATCAAGGAGTTGTCGTCACAAACTGCATTAGGTGCTGATCTTGGTTCCACCAGTGTTGACCTGAAAGACTGGGGCCTCACCAACTCCTTTCCAGAACTCTTCTTTGAGGCAATGAACAGTTCTGCGGATGAGCTGTCCACAGGAGGGTTCAGGCAGTTTGTGATTGTGCACAGGCAACATACTTTCTTGTTGAGCTCACAGAAGAGCTGCAAGTGCCAAGCAGACAGTGGGACCGATTGTTCAAGTTGCTCATCAACCGTGATCATAACAGACAGCTTAGGCAAGATGCTCATTGAGAATGGGACACAAGGCTTTGTTATGAAGTTTGAGGGCTCTCCAACAACCCGGTCTGTGCCCTTGATGCTGCACTGCGGGCCCTTGAGTGGAGATTTCAAGAGCGTTGCGATGTGCGCCGGCTGCAGAACGTCACCAGCTTGGAAGAGTTGTACAGCGGACTAGTGGTCGAATTCTCTGAGGTCGCTTATGACGCCACAGTGCTGCCCAGCGCAACCTTGAAAGCTCCTTCGACGGTTGGGTTCTCTCGTTCCCCCATCCTTTTGGATCAGGTTAGGAAAACCCTCCTCACCTCACTGAGTTCATTCTCTTACTCGAACCTCAATGTGGACCTCTATGAAGTAAGGAGTCTGCTGCAGGTAATCACTCAAGCTAGCAATTGATCAGTTCGCTTGCAAATCTGTGCCTACCCCCTCTCAGACTAATTGGTTCATTGCATACATGGATGTGATTGTGAGAGTTCTGCGTTGTTGTTTACAAACTTATAGTTGTCCTCCTGTTCATCGGATCAAGGCAACTTTCTCTTTCATGGCATCAATAGTTGCTTTTGATTAAGAGAGTTTGTTTTGTTCAAAGTGCTTCTGTTTCAAACAGCAAAAGGCGCTGCCTTAAGCTAGCATTTCTTGGTTGTGGTCTCACAGGAAGCGACCTGATTGCGAAGTATGGACTTCAAGTTTTAATGGTTGATCATTGCGGGGCCTTCACCTTTCAGAGTCCTAAACTCACCTTCGAAGTAACTTAGCACAGGCCTTCTAATATAGGTGCTACCTGATCAACATGGAATAATGCTCAAGCTGCAAAGAGGCAATAGCTGAATGCTTATTGCTGTTAAGAGAGCTTAGCCGGATTGTGAGCTCGTGCAGCTTGTCGAAAGTGTTTATGTTGCTGCTCTTTGGTGCAGGCTGCTCTCAGTACGCCGCCTCGAGGCAAGCTCACCGAAAGCGCTGCCAATCAGTTCAACAGCATGTCCACGCCGCTCAGATCAACCGCTTCGCCTCTCCTTAAGGTGCCTCAGGAAAACCTCTCTTCTCCCTCTTTCGTTCTACTCAAACTGATGTACCGTTTGTTTTGCGTTCATGTGCTGATCAGTGTCTTGAGAGCCGAAAGTATTGGAGTATTATGATAATCTGCTTTTTGAGCTCGCCCTTGGAAGCAAGTGCATCGATCTTGTCAGATTGTCAAAAAAATAATGTTTGTCAGCATGCTTTAAAACATAGAGAACAACACGTTTTATTTTGCTGACAAGTGCTTTCCAGTCTTGGATGAAAAGTTTCTTCAATTCAGTTCCCTTGCAAGCTGGACGCTTCGGTCATTCCTGTTGAAACAGAGGTCCTTGTTCTATCACCCAGATTCTATGAGCCCCAAACCGGACGGACCCGGATGAGCCCCAACCCACCCAAAAGATACTTTCAGCTGGTGTGCTCCACTTGGATCAGTAACTGGGTTCTCGTTTGTCACGATGCAGACGCCAATCTCAGGGAGGACGCAAGAATTGGGCGGTGCTGCAGCTGCGGTGAGCCCAAGCATCAAGTCGCCAGCTCGGGCGTCTCCTCGTCAAGCCGGAAGGGTAAGTACGCCTGATCTTTCGTTCCCCGATGGTCTGAGTGTGTGAGTTAGCAAAAGTTAGACAAAGCCAGATTCTTGTGACTCAACGAGATTGAGAATGAGAAGCGTTGGCAACTAGTCTTCAGCTCCAACTCGTTCTTTCCAATGACATGCCCGAAGACTGAGCTGAGAATGATGCTCAGACCCGGAATTTCTTCTATTCGAAGCAAGATGTTTGCCAGTCCCGTCAAGGGCGAGGAAAGGTCCATTCGTGCTTTCAAAGTAGAGCACTCAACTTGCCCGAATTCTTCTATCACCAAATAACTTTCGGCCGTGACAAAACTGTTGGTCGAACGGAACGGTGTGAGTTGGAATGCTCTACAATCTGAGGTCTAGCTCGGAAGACAAGCGAGTGCGACTCGAACTTATGCCAACCCCATCTTTTTGCAGGAACGGTCTAGACTCTTTTCGGAATGGGCCACAGTTCGGGGTCCCGGCAGAGCCTCAAATCTGAGCCCCTCGAAACCCAGCCGTCAGCAGCCCATCACGACTAAGAACAGCTTCGACATCTTGATGAATCTCGAGGTTGGTGACTTCGGAACAGAAACGGACTCAGCCGCAGTGCCTCCTCCCTTGCCAGAGTTTGTCTACGTGCAAAACATCTCGAGAGGAGGGATGATCTACGAGCTTCCGGTCCTCTCTTCCGAAACGTTGTCGGAGTTCGTGGATAGAGTGGGAGCGAGGGTCAGTTTGCCGGAAGCTGCCGGCCGGAGAGTGGAGATTCGCCTTCAGTCGTCTGCTCTCGCTATCGCAGACGGTGATACCCCAATCAGCTGCACTCCCATTAAAGCTGGGGGTACTGTAGAGTTCGAAGCTTACCTAAGATGCTCAAGGCGGAACCATGTGCAACCTTTATCCTTTTTTACGAAGTTGAAAGGGGGCCGCCTTTCGAAGACCTGCATCGAGTGTGACCGGTCCGGAAAGTCGGAAGAGATGCGTACGGTTGGGGGTTCGTTGGGGGTACCTGGACTTGACGCGCCTCTACAAGACGCGTCCGCGGTTGGGACCACAACGAGTACCCAGCAATGGTGCGCAGGCTGCAAACGCTTCAAGTCGCAGGACGTTTTTCTTGGGCGGAAAACCTGTTCCCCGTGTCAAGCGCGCTTAGCTTGACGGAACCAGGGTCGCCCACAAAAGAAAGCCGCCAAAATTGCGGCCAGGGACGGGTCCGCTCCTGCCGCGGGGTTGCAGACAACCATCTCAAAAGAATCTCAAATGAAGAAGGCGCCCGTGAATACGGAGACGGAAAAAGGGGATGGCAGAAAGCTTGAAGCACCCGTCCAGGTAGGTACATGACGTTTGCACGAGAGTGCTCATTTTTCTGGTTGACTCCCTTTGGTTCGACAGACAAGCTCAACATCAGGATGCTTAAATCATACCCGAGGGACGATCACGACATGGAAGTAAGTTTTGATCCGTATGCTTCGACTGAATTCGGAGCTTTTTGTAGTGCGCACTCCAGAGAGACCTAATCTGCTTTTGTATTTTCACTCTTCCTTTGACCACCCAAACGCCGCTCCTCCAAGGCTTTTGGATGTGAAAGACCGCGGAATCGGTTTCCGCTCTTGTCCACTGAGGTCCAAGCTTTTGTTTCGGCTGTCCTCAGATTCTCAAGGTGATTGGCACTTATTGCCAACAAGAAAGCTTAAATCCCAGTGTCAAGAAGCTTAAGTTCTTCAAGGATTCTTCGGTTAGAGGTGTCGTCGCTTGGTGAACGTTCTCCTCAAGGTGGATCAGAAAGCGCCAATGTTTTCAAGTACAACAGTTGAGGTCATCAGCATTACGAATGCCCTCAAAGTAATAAATAGAGTATGTCCGTTGACATGCTTGTCATCACATGTTTACAGGCTGTATGCATCCTCTACAGGTGTTGAGCTTCGAAACAGAGGTTGCGTTCGAAGCTTGGAAGGTGGAGGAAGAAACGATCGGCGGCATCGACTTACTTCTCCGTCGCGACGATCCAAGCAAGCTGGTGGACACGGAGGATGCTTCGTTCAAGGGCGAGGACCCGTCTACTTGGGTGGCCAAGGCCGGTGCTCGGATCCAATCAAATTCTTCTCTCAGGTATTGGGAATATAAGTGCATGTGTCACGGGAAGTCCAAGTCCAAATCTGCACAAGATCTGCCTGTGAGTCTGCGGCAACCTGTTTCTGGCGACGATCCTGAGCAAGCAGGCTCGGAGGAGACGCTTCAGGATCGACTTTTGCGCCAAGCACAGGAAGACGAACGCCGATCTCGGCGACTTGCTCGAAGGGGGCTCGACATCAAGTTCTCCAACAAGCTCGACTGCAAATACCGCTTCACAGCAACTACTGGTGTAACAGCAACCAGGCAAGTCCTACTCTGATGTCAAAGTTTCTAGAAACGAGATCCTCTTTGCATTGGTCTTGAGAAGTTTCATACTTTGATCCTGCTCCCCGGACCAATCGCTTACCAGCGCTTGGTTAAAATGGCCTTCTTTGGGAGCTCCTGGACATGTCAAGCACGCCTGCAAAAAGTCGAAGAGCGCCGGCGAAACGCTTTTCGGTCATAGGTCCGTCTTCAAGCAAAAAACCGCTGAATAAGGTCCTTACGCTCGATTGGAACGCCAAGTCCATCGAAATGTCCAACTCCAGATGGCAATCTCTGCTTTTGCCGCTTCCCTTGACAGTTGCGACCTCGAATAGCCTCGGTGAGCAGATAATTGGCAGCATACCGGTCTCTTGTAAACGAGCTTTGCGATTCGAATGAACCACAGCCGAAGTGACTGTAGAAACGCATCCTTTGCAGGGAAGCAGGCGTGGTTACTGTCAGGGTTTTTGGATCGCACCTGCCTTCATGCGGCGCAGCGCACTCGTACAGAGGATTAGACAAAGGTCTGCGTACCTGGATAAAGATGTTATTGGATCTGGGATGCTCGCCTGCTGAGATCGTCGACTACATCAATACTCCTTCGACACTGCCCAGTGGCATACCGTCACCTCCGGGGCCCCCAAAAGGTAAGAGTCCTTGCATGAAGACGCGGGTCCAATAGACAGGTGTTCCCGTAGAGTATCCTGACAGTTGCACACTCACCGCCCCAACTTTCTGTGAGTTGAACGCAACGAGCTGATAGTGCTAGGCTTCGCACCTGATCAAAACTCCGCCCCATCGGGCCAAGCCTTATTCTGTTGTCAGGAGGTATTTGAAGCGGGTACCTCAGCTTGCATCTATGCTCGATGGTTGCCACTTCTGACGTGCTCAAAGAGGCCCATGAACTGAAGCTTGTGCGTAGAACTGAAAAAGTAAAACATTTGTTACACGTTTGCCGTTCAAAGGCTTTACCGATCTTCAACACCAAGAGTCAAGCCGATCCGAGCTCTGCTTTTCTGTCAAGCTGAGAATCGGTCGCAACAGTCGGGGCCGCACCTATCAACTGGTGGAAGCACTGAAACTGCAGATTTGCACTCTTCGCTTTAGGTCACTTCAATATGAAGCTAATTGCGTTTGTTTTTGTGATCGAAGGTGATGGACCGGAACCCTCGCATCCACGCTGGTCGCCTCAGGAGAAAGACATTGAAAACATGCTACAATCAATCAGGCGTGGCAAATATCTCGATCCAAATGATCAGACCGCCATCTATGAGTTCCTCAAGGGTCATTGTAGAGCTGGGGCGAAAGCTCAAAACCAGGACCAGCCGGGCACGACCGATTTGAACAAACTTCTTGAAGGGATTGATGTGCTGGAGTATCAGGAATTCGAATGTCACTGTCATGGAGACTCTACAGATGTGGGTATAGGGACTCAAGCTGCAAGTAGGATTGGGAAGCAGAGATTGACGAAAAAGCTCTGCAAAAAGAAGTGTGAGCACGGACCGCAGTGTAGACCATTTATTGCGGTTCTCCAGAGCCCGTGGCAGCGGCAGGTCTTAAGTGAACTTCATCAGAAGCGTCTTGCAGGTGTCTTTTGCTTGGATGCCACTGGGCAGACAAATCAGTATAGGTGGCCACTATCGGCTTTAGTGTTGCCAGACGAGCAAGGTCATGCGGTTCCTATAGCTTTTATGATTAGTTCCACAGAAAGGGAAGAGCCTCTAGAGGTCTTCTTTAGGGCGATTCAAGAGGCGTGTCCAGTAACTTTCAAGCCAAGAGCCTTTAGCATAGACATGAGCGACGTTGAAATTAATGCCATTAGGAAGGTGTTTGAGGATAGCGTAGACATTCGTATCTGCTTCTTCCATGTCATGCAGGCTTGGGAGCGTTGGCTGAAGCGCTCAGCCAACAGAGTATCCGAGCCGCAGAGAATTCTCGTTCCCCGGTTGATCAGACAGATGAAGCTAGCCCCGGATCTGGAACGCTGTCAAAAAGCCCACAATCTCCTAGTTGATTATTTAACGTCAGAAGATTTGGAGCAGGTTTTAGTTCACTTAAGAAGGGATTGGATAGGGAGTGACAAGAGACCGGTCTATCGAATGTGGTGCAATGCATTTCGAACGAAACGAATTAGGTCTTGGTATAGGATAGAGACAAACAATCTGGTTGAGCGCTTTTTTAAGACTTTGAAGTGGCGGTTTTTGGAAGGAAAAAATAACAAACGGCTAGAGCGGGTCCTAGAGGTACTCACTATTCAGGTATGCAATTTCTATGTAACCAGGAGGAAGCACGTGCTGGCTGGCCGAAAGGCCAATTGGAAGCTGTATGAAACGGTGTTGGACAGAGAAAAGAAGGTGAGGCTCGGCCCTGCACATTCTGGGCGAAACGACTTCGAGAAAGGGGAAGGTTGCTTCTACAGCGAGCATCTAGGATTCAATTGAGGGGCACCATCGAGCCGCATTGTTGCACAAATTCCGCTTCCATAAATCAGACAGTTGAGTTACTAGCAAGCCGGCCTCCTCACTTGATTCGTTAGGCTCATGGCACGACGTGACGAAAGCTGGCTAAACTACGGGCGCCTGAGAAGTTTTGGCACTTGTCTTGCGTTGCGTCTTTTGCGAAGACATTCTCGTGCAAGCGCTTGAGCTCTGAAATGCACGGATTGCGCGTCTTGGTGCACTAGCAACTGCTCATGACGTTCGCTTTCCGAAATGAAGTCGTCACTGTCCAAATATGTATGTTTTCTTCTTTTGACACGCTCTTGCGCTTTACAACACAGCTGGTGCTGTCACGGTTCTCGACAACCAGTCGGGCCATGCCGAAGTAGCGTCGAAGGCCGCACTTAGCGTGCTTGCGGCTGCTGCAGCGGCGAATGATAGTACTGCAGCCCGTCCGCAAACTGGGATGACGACTGAGAAGTTGTACACCGTCGTTCTCAGGGGTGGGTTTTGCGACTGTGAGGATCCAAGCGGACTTCTCTGCAAGCACATAAGGGCAGTGGCGAGGTAAGATACTACGGTCGTAAGCTCGCGGGCAAGCGTCTACAGTTCAGACCTGGTACTGTGGTGATTGATCCACATAGCTCAATGCTCTTAATTATCTGGCGTGACTGATTATCCGTTACGGTTTTGAAATTTCCAAAAGACGCAACCAGCCGCGGCCCTTCTCTTGGCCCCGTCATCCGTGGCAGAGCGAACGAAGTTCGTTCCTTTTGCAAATCCAGTTGTCCCGAACTGAAGATACATGCACAGCAGTGAAACCATACGTATCATGTTCTATCAAAACCAGCTTCGACAAGCACTCCGGACGTTTGTAGTTGACTTCAAATGAATTTGTTCCTGCTCGGTGTTGTTTCCTCCCCGCACGCTCCGGTTGGATGATCCCATGTGGACGATCGACCATTTAAAATTGGACTTTAAGGTTCAAAAAGCTTGACCACTGCTGGGCCGGTCCCATTTGCTCACCGCATCAGGACAACCTATTCAGGACCAAAATGCAGGCCCCGTTACGAAGCCAGGCCCGCTCTACATGCTTGGGTGTGTAGATGTTGTTCCAATCTCGCTTCAGTATGTTCTTATTTTAAGGTCTCACATCTTTGCAGGAAGCTCGGAGGGCTGGAGAAATGGAACCTTACTCTGGACAGCTTGCGAGAGGAGGTTTTGATGGAGGTAAAAACGGCCGAGATGGAACAGCAAAATGTAGACCTTGAAAATAATGTCGAGACGGAAGCGGGTGGGGTTGACTCTGACATGGAAGACGGATTTGAAATGAACAGGACCGAGAACGACGAGGTGAAGGCGTTGAGCAAAGAGGTGCACGGTGTCCTCGACAAGATTTGTGCTGTGGAGCCCTGGAACAATGCAAAAGGTCTTCTCAAAGAGGTGAGCTGATCTGGGTCTCCGAGGTGCACAGAATGTTGGCTAGTATTTTGTGCAATAGCCTTGAATTCGTTCCGAATGAAGATTGAAAAAGAAGACTTGACGGGCCCCATGATCTTCAGAATCCCGAAGGACATCTTCACTGAAAGTAGGACAATATACGAGTGTTTTGTATCAGCGCAAAGAGACGTCAGAATGATTTCTTCCATGCACCGACTTTGAGTTCGCGGGAACAACTAGGGTCCTTCAATCACGGACTCTATTTGAAGGAGAAATCTCAGGAATGAATAGGCAAGGCTTTCTATTTTTGCACAATTTACAAGAGAACAGGAGGTGCATGCCGTTGCTTTGGGCCTATCTGCTGACCGGTCACCGAGGCATCACCTCCAAACTCAATGCGCTGGCCTGGAATCCTTGTAACCCACTAAACGAGAGTCTTGAGTTGTCGAGCTTTGGAATGCAGGTGCTCATCCGAGTGACTGCTGATCTTAAGCAAGAAGAACGTAGGTTGAAACCAAAGTCCTTCACACGAAGCAAGAAAAAGAAGGGAGCAAAGCGGAAACGCAACGCTGCGACGCGAACGTGGTGGAAGCCCCCGGCGTGACTGCCTCAAAGCCTCAGGTAAATATTGAGGCTTTCCGTTCGAGCCTGTTCGTTATGTGAAATAGACCCGAGCACCAACTTTGCAAACCTGCAGATCAACGTACCGTTGATGTCCAGATCTTGTGAGGCGTCAGATCAGTGTACGATTCCCGCATTTAACTCTCCAAAGTAAAATGATAGAGCTCTGGTGACAAAAGATCAACGCGTCGGGGAAAAGTGATGTTCGAACAAATCCGCTCCGAGCAGGTTTCACCTCAGATGCTTTCTTCGACGATTGCTTGATTAAATTCTGAACGGCGCGGCGCATGTTATCCTCTGTCAGGTCTCGGCTGGCTGGGTTGGATTAAACATGGGGTCCCGTCCAAAGAGAGCAAAGCAGGCTGATCATCCAAGGCAGGCTGAGGATGAAGCGGCAGTATCAAGACTAACTACAGAGTTGGCTGCAAAGGCAAGTACTTGACCTGCAGTACTGAGACTGTTCTTCGAATCGACTTTGACCGTGTCAGGTTAAAATGCCAATGCTGTTGTAGATTGCTTGAATGTTACATGGTGAGCCGAACTTGATGAAAGGTTGACCAAACAGGGACTGCGGACCTGCACTAAAAAGAAGAGTACTTGGTCGAAGATAAGGTCATGACTTGACAGGGGACTGCTTTGCCCTAATCGGAAGCTGCGAAACTGAGCTGCAGAACTGATCCGTCATGGGCTGCCACTGATTCAGATTATTCCGACCCAGTCCGAGTATAGTACGCTGGGGTATTTAATGAGGCACCATCGCGTTTGTCAGCTTTGAAGCATCCTGCCCACCGCAAAATGGATGAGCAACCTGCCCGCACAGATTGACTTGGATATGAACTTCTCACTTGCCGAGAGCTGCCGCGGAGGCTGTTTCCCCCGCTCCTCCTGTTCGCTCAAAGCAAGAATCCGTTGCAAGGTATAAAGATAAGAAGGCTAGGCGAAGATAGGTCTGGCACGTTTCTGATGGAACAGAGACCAAGTTTGCACCCGTAAGACCCGCTTGTAGTCACTGCTTGCAATAAGTCAACCATTAGCCTCGGCATGCAAGTGTCCAATACATTGAGCCTACTATGTACAGTACGCGCTGGTCTCTTAGTCTTTTTTCTCTGGCTCACAGTATCATTGTTGAAACATGGAGCAGTGGCAGTGAACTTGGGAACTTGCAAACCGGGCCTCTGCGCTGTTGATCCATGACAAGTCAGATGCACAGATGCACACTGGAATCGATGTCGAGCTTGACCATCTGCATGATTGTCTCCTGCCATTAAATGCTGAGTGAATCTGGCACCCGACTGCGGAAGCATCATGCAATGACAGCCGCTAATCCGCCTGCTCATCATTGTAATGAATTATAATATCGAATGCATTGGTGCACAACAATCACTGCCAGCAGCAGACCATACATCATCTTGAAAGATCTTAGGGACGTGCATTGTAGTTGGGGCAGCTCATTAATGAATTTCAATCATTCAGCGTGCATGAGAGATCGCTGGCCCGCCAGCTGCTGGGAGACAGCTCGCATCGCCGGAGTTCCGTGCTGAGGCTTAGATTCAGAACCAGCCGCGCGCGCATAACGGTCTTACGTACCGAGTCGAGATTCGTCGGTGAACCGTGAAGAGAAATTTTCACAAGTGTTGGAACTTGGCAGTCTGCGGTGCGACGTCAAAGTTATAGAGTGGGCCCGGGGCGTCGCGCGCGGCGGCGGCACCGCGTCCGAGTCAAATTTGAAGGTCGTGCTTCCGTAGGCTCTACCCAACTAGAATGGGCTAGGAGGGCGACCGCCCTTCGGGCGGTCCCGTCCTGGTATGGGCTTCGAGCCCGGGACCAACACTGAGAAACCAGGTGTCAAAGGGTCCGACGAAGGCTTTGCCTGGAGAATGGGACCGCCCAATCCGACTCGCACTACAGCGGTCTAGTCCGATCTGTACGTTTTATGGCCGATTGGCCGGAAACTTACCGTACTTATACCGACCATTGCTTACATGCCCGGTGGATGATTGCCGGCCGGTTGCGACTCTGGCCGGTACAAGTTTCACGATGTTTTTAGGGCTGCGGCCCGCGGGCTAGAGGCCTTTACTAACCGACGGCTGAAATTGCGAGTGAGCGCACGTTTTCAAAAATATCGACGGCTACCGTGGCAAAATTTTGTCGTTTTGCAAACGTGCCGATATGGACGACTGAGATGGGGCAGAAAATATGGGCCGACGGTGACGATACGACGCAATCCCGCAGTTTCGTTAATTTGCAGGCTTTTTTTTCGGGTTTTGCACCTTCGCGCGTGAATCTGACCGTCTCCTAGCCAATAAGCAGCAAACTTTTCAACAAACACAGGTGGGGTCCCACTCACAGCCAAGACATATAGGGGAAAAGAAGAGAGAAAAGAGAAGAAAAGAGGAAAAAGAGAGATATAAGGGACTGAATAATTGCTTGTATAAGACGATATCAGGATTCGGAAATGGACCCCAGGGGCTAGTTGGCCGTTCGATACACTAATTAAGTCACCGATACCGTCGGTGATCATTAGAAAGTCACTAGGTGACAAACAAATGACGTTGCATCAAACTCTATTTCACGCGACTCGGACCTCGGTCTATAATCGACACGTGGTCTTTTTGACACGCGGCCCAATCAAAACGGCGGATTTTATGTCCATGTCCCTATCTGAGTTTTTTTTTTTTTTTTTGGACCGTCTGGCACGTGCAGCTCATCAGGTGGAAACTGCAGACTAGCATACGCCTCAAGGGCAGGGGAGCCGCAGCAGATTTTACATCATCTTGTTGGAGAGTCGAGGCGACGACGTTTGGTTTGATGACCGGTGGTACCAAAATGTAGTTGCGAACGGGAGGAACGATGGAACACATGAGTGGGTTGAGAGGCAGTCGGAGAAGAATTAGATGTGGGAAGATTTGGAATCTGATCGTTGTAGACCTGGTGGGAAAGTACGGTAAAGTGGCGGTGGCAACGACGGGGACGATGAGAGCTTCATAATGATCAGTTCCGTCATAAGCAATGTGCATGATGCGTTGGGTGAATAGTGGTGCAGTTGATGAGAAATTAAGGAGAGGATGTAGAGGAAGGCCGGTGACTGCGGACCAAATCATAAGTGGAGCCTGCAGATAGCGCGCGTATGCAAGAGCCTCAACTTCAGTTGCCCAGTTGCCCGGAATTGACATGTAGCTGCTGTAGCGAGCGGGTGTTGGAAACGGTTCGCTTGTAGTTGATAAGAAGGCTGGTGTGTCCTGATGAACAGCATTGATCTGATGCGTATACGTGTCCCAATTTGTTACGATTGTCTGTACGCAGGCAATGCGAAGTGCGTGATGATCAGAATCAGATCGACCGTGTGCAAGGAGAATGGCGCGAAAGAGGCAATTGCCGTCGCCTTGCACCAGGCATCGTGTCAATCGACCTGTAAAAATATGATGAGTGGTGTGAAATCTAAGTGAAGTGGGCGGTGTATGAGGGCGTAGAACTGAAGGCTCGGTAAAGTGGTGGAGGGCGTCATTGGACAAATTAGGCCGTGGGGAAGAGTACGAAGCGCAAGCAAGATGTGGAGGAAGAGTCTGAGGAGAAGGGGTTACTGTAGTGCGCGGCGTGGAAGCGGGCGATGGGATATCTGGCGAACTGGACAGGTGTAGCTCGTGCCAGCATTTGGCAAACGCAACATAGTCAGTGTCGTCCATTTCATGGAGAGGTTTCATTTGTGGGAACGCATGAAGGCGATCTTTGAAAAGGTGATGGCGTTCCTTGATGAGTGCACACCGGTCGCGCCAGACATGCTGGAAGAATTCGAAAAGTGCAACGTGTAGCTCCTTACCTAGTCGAGTAGTCTGAGAAGGAGTGGGCAACCGAGATGAAAGCCAGACAAATAAGGAGTGGGGTAATTGTCCAGCTGAAAAGAAGCGCAGACGGTCAGATGGGACGTGAATAAGAGCGTCGTATAAGTATGCACGGAGGGCAGCTGTAGTGGTGCGAAGCAGTGCGCGTGAGCGGCAAATAGAAACCAGTCGGGTGAGAAGTTGCTGACGATGACCAGCAAACGTCGGGCACTCATAGAAAAGGTGCTCGGTAGTTTCTGAAGGGTGGCTGTCACAGAGAATGCATAGCTCATCAGAATATAGTCGAGGTCTAATGGTGCGTAAACGATGGAAAGTTGAGAGCGTACGACCAAGTATTTGTATAAGTCGTTTTTTGTCAGCTGAATCGCGTTTAGCGTATAAAATAGATAGAGAAGGTGCTTGCCAGATGCTGACCGTAAAGAGTAGCTGGTGCCATTCGCCGCGGCCTAGGTAGTGAAGGGATCGATCTGAGGAATATGCATGGGTGTATACTTTGATGGGGTTGTTTTCGAAAAGAACGGCGGCGACTGGAACTGCGTCAAGAGGCGGCGGCAGAATAACGGTGACAGAAGGTAAAAATTTTGTTTCAAAAGGCACTAAGAGGCGTTGAGTGAATGATTAAGGCTAGATTTTGCCAGAGTATCGGCAACTTTGTTCCGTTCTTGGTGCCGAACAAGGTCAGAAAGGTGATCAAATGACCCATCAGACGTCGGGCAATGATCACGTTCATGAGCCTTCACATGTACATCGGATAAAGCGGGGGTCGCCGGTAAGGTGCCGGGCAGTG